ATACTTACAGGCAATAATTAACAAAGCCAAAATCATTTTTATCTTACTCATTCTTCAGTTGAAAGAAAAGAATTGTTTTTATTAAACTACAGTTTGTTTGTACCGTGTAAGCATTTTAAGTTGAATAATGGGAGCCAGACTCAACATTATCTTTCCAAATTGTTAGTAGCTTTTCGTTGAGACTTTCAAAGGTTTATAATTTTTTTAGGAAGGTGAACGAAGAAAGGACATTCACAGGTTGGCCAATAGAGAATCTGAAAGTATTTTAAAACTATGGGCTCAACCAAATCCCGATGCTAAAATTGCTAAACCTTTTGGTAAGTGTTTGACTCATCGCATCTTAATGTTTAGCTAAGACCTTTGCCTAGAGAGTGACATTTGGTGAATTAGTTGGAAAGAATTCCGCAAGCAAAATCTTTTCCACATGTTTGATTTACACAATTAAACCTTGAAGGTCATAAAAGAAATGAAGTTACGGAGGTAGTTGGAGGTCGTCGTTTCAGCGCCCAGGAATTGCAAGCTTCACGAGCAGCTATACCACGTTTTCAAGATCCGCGAAATACAATTGCTGCCAGAGCGGAAAAGGTAATAAAAAATAGCAGCTTAATTATTTGATTTACACAAAGTTCATTAGTTCAAAATGTAATTGAAGTTGAACAGTGGAGATAAAACTAGAAGAGAAAAAAAATTACAATATGATTATAGGAACACAAGAAGAAAGTTTCATCTGGAAGTTTGGTAATACCACATCCATTTGCTCATTTGGCAGTACCGCAGCCTCGGATTCATTCTGTATCGGTGAGCGTTTTCCCGGTCGTCAATTTTTTTTATCATTGAAGCGTTCTACTACTATTGCCAGTTTCTGCATAGACTAAATTTAAAATTTGAAAATAACATAGCTGTTGCTTAACTTATGGCATATAATAATCGTAACACATCTGTTTGTTCGGTCCTGTAATAAATAAACTTCGAAACCAATTTTTTTTTTTTGGAATTAATTAGCGATTTTTTATGAGTTTATTATCCGTTTTGCTAACATATTGATTTTTCTCTGACAATAATTTTTCACACGACCAAATAAAACTAAAATAAAATTTTTTTTACACGTTAGTGTGTAATAATTATATTTAATTATTCATTGAAAAAGTAATTTTTAGGATACTAAATCGTTTGTAGTGGACAGTGCATCCTCGGACAGCAGTAAAAATGGTGAAGAATTGACTGCTGAACAATACATGGCTTGGCTTGGTGGTCAGGTTAGTTCTTTTATAGTTTATCTATTCAGTTTTAGTATTTCTGAAAACTAAAGGGGAAAAAAAACAATGCAAATAGGTCGTCGTTCAATCAAAAAAAAAAATCAAAGAAAATTGAAAGTTTTTTAAAAACAAAGGCAAGTTTATCGTAAAACACCTGTTTTCAAAGATGTGATGTTTTTCAGTAAGTCTTTAGTGATTGTTCAAAGTTTTGTCTCAAGGGTTATTAACTGGTGTAAACAATGCACAATAATAAATTTTGAAATTTGATCGACTTATAATATATGTGAATTAAATATTTATATATGTGTAAAGTTCAAGTAAAGATTAGCGGATGAGTGGGAGTGAGAGGTAGAAAACTTCATTTTTTCCCTCATAAACCCAATAGTCAAACAGCATTAATAAACAGCTAAACAAACTTAAGTTTATTGATAATGCCACCATTTTCGCAGCATTTACAATATTTATATGAGAAAATAGTTTGACAATTCTAAGCGCAGAAATGCTATTTAATAAGCCGTATACTTAAGAAGCTCCACCATGGAAATATCAGATTAAAAAATGAAGCGCTAAATATTAAAGCGAAGTCTGCGGAAAAAAAAAATCATTGGTAAAGTACAGCTGCTATGTAAAAGTACTTAATGCTTTGAAAAAAACCCTGATTTCAAAGTTACTGAAAAAATCTTTAGCAACATACTATTCTTTTTTCACTTTCTTCTCTCTGTTGCTTCAACAATAATTGATCACTGTTTTTAATTTTAGTTGACGGTACAAACGTGGAACACATCTGTACAGCAACGAAAGAAGAATCGTAGTTATGCATCATTTTATGATCGGTTGATGAGTGAAAGAACACCAACAAAGCGTGAATTGCGTGAAAAACTGAAAAAATTGAAAGAAGAAGAAGAAAGACAAGATTTGGAAGGATATAGTGCACAAAGTTTAGAGGATCAACTGGAATCCACCAATTTTGGGGACGAACGGTCAACAACGACAACAGCTACTCCAACACCGACATCACCAACACCTCCAAATTTACCAATAACAAACAACCAGACAACCACACCGGCAGCAACAATAAATTGTAACGATGAATTTGTCGACGAAAATCCGGATTCACAAAACAACAATTATCAGACGTTGGAATGTATCAATGAGGAAGAAAAAGATCTAATAAAGAAACATGCTACCGCCGTTACCGCCACCACATTAGACGATGGTATTCGGACTAACAACACCACAATTACCACCACTACCGCCAATAACAACAACAACAATAACAATAATGATAACAACAATAATAACAACAATAATAATATGAAGCAAGCAAATATAATTGCTGCTGCTGTGGAATAATGGATGTTACCATGATATCCTACTGAAGATTTTGGATTTACTGATTTACTTGTAAAAGACTACGGTTCTTAAAGATCATTAGGTGGGCAGAAATTCATGTCCTTTATTTAGACATTTACTCACCAATTATAGCAGTCGTGAATCAAAACTGTAAAGCTTTTTTCCTTTATTTCTATAAATAATTTATATTTATACGCAATATCTGTGATATCATGTAGAAGTCTGTTTTTTTTTTTTGGACCACACTTTTAATTGTTCTTATTTCCTTGCACTCTTCCAATTTCTTATTTGTTCACTCTCCAAGATCAATGGTAGTTATTTAGATTACACCAGGTTTTATAAACTCCTTCAAGTAAGCTTGATCAGTGTGCTTTTTTTCCATCTTAGACCTAGAGAAGTCGTTTTACAAGAGAAACGTTTATTTGAGAAAACCAAATAAAGATCAATATTATAAGCAGAAGAAATATAACCTTCAAAAAAGCTTTTAGTTTTTAGACTAAGTCTTTTGGATACTCTTAATTAAGCTGATATCATATGTTGAGCGAGGCAAAAACAGGAAAAAATTGAACTTTAAAAATATTAATGTTTCACAAATGCATTCTTTTTGTTCTATTTTTTTTCCACTAACATCTTTTTATTCTATTTTTTCATGATGATTTTAAATTAATGATATAAATGCTGCAGCAGTAGCGATAATAGCAAAAAACAGAGAATTCTGGTATTGAGTTATTTCAAAAGTTTCTCAATAAATCGTTTTATATTCTGCTTTTTTTTTCAAATTGGAAGGGAACGATCAAAAAACGTCTGACAATTTTGAAAGGAGTCTTTCGATGACAAATGCACTCGTTCTTGCTGTTATTGCTGCTGTTGGAGTAGATTATAAAAATTATGAATCAGGTAGCAAAAGAAGAGAATGAATTCAGAAGACGATGCTTATACTAATGTTGATAACGGCGATGACGGTAATATGATGGTGAAGACAATGATGACAGAAGAAAATCTTTTCATTTTTCTTTTTTTTTAACCTTAGTTTTTTTCTCAATTCGGAATTAAATCTATCACATTTTTTTGCTTCTTAACTACCAACGAACACCAACTTTAGTTTACCAAACCGTCCATATCAGGGATAACAACAGGGGGAGAGGCTCACTGATCAGTTACCATTATCATCTCTGTTGTCACCGCCATCTTCATCATCATTGTTTTTGCACTTATTGCATTTCTCACAACTGTCAATGATATTCTTTAATAGTATTTCACTTAACAGTCTCTCCGTCTTAAAAATACTTCCAATAAGCAGAACAGTCTTACAACTTTTATTTTCTACTGTTTTCTGTCCTTTTCCCTTTCCAAACTTTTTTTTACATAACAGTGAAGTTCTGCACACCAGAGGAAAGAAATTAATTTTTGTTCAATGAGGAAAGAAGAAAAAACGACAGTAAACAACGAAGAAAAATGATTTAATTTCTCACTGCTGCAAAAGTGTTTTTTAGCCATATGGTTTTGTTACTAAAATAAACAAAGTAAATTGTTCAAGTGCCAAAATATATATAATAACAACGGTAAGAGCAAAAACGAAGAAAGAGATGGAATTGAAAAAAAAAAACAACCAGAAGATCTAAGTGATGTCTTCAAGACTGTTCATAGTTCCATAACTTTTTTTTTGCTGTCGCTATTGTTGTTTGTATTTTATCGTGTGTTTAATAGCTTTTTTCTCCTCATATCATCTAAAAGTATCAAATGATAAACATGCATCTACTTGTCTATAATCAAAAGAAAGTTTTTTTTGAATATCACTGAAATGAAACCTCCTTGCTGTCATTGCCGCTGTTGTTATTAGTGGAATAATGACGATAAGTGAAAAGGTTTTGAAAACTTCTATTTTTTTTTCTGATAAATATGTTGCAAATGTATTTGTCTATCCGTAATGTTGCTACATCTGTGACTTATAACACTTATCTCATCCGTTTCTTTTCCTCTTGTATTTTTTTCTTTAGCTTTTCGTTTTTTTACAGAACCTACTGCATGTGTTAGATATTTGAATTCACTTGTTTTTTTTTTTTTTTTTTTTTTTTTTTTTTT